AAGGTAGAAAATAGAAATGTACACACAAATTCTTGAAAACAATGGCAACTACGACAGTACAATTAGCATAAGTCACGTAGTGAATCAAAACTGTCATTCACTTAATTATTCTATACTTTGAGACTAAATGTTTTTGTATGTGATTCGCAGTGATAAAATTTGGCGTTTAATCAAAATAACTCATCAGATGAAGTATGCATACTCCAACCATCCGGTGTTGTTGCGATACTGAAGCTGGTTACGCAAAGATAATGAATAAAATATTCAGGGGAGGAAATGATGAAAAACGAAGCACATATAATTCCATGTATTCCACAATCAAACTACTCTTATGTGATGCGACATCACATGTATCACGTAGCTGAGCAAATTCCACTGGGTGGAACATGATGTGAATCCGTATCTCATTCGTTGGAAATAGGGTGGGTATAGTTATGACTTACATATTCACATTAAATGAAGCTTTTATTCACGGGATATAACATCAGTAATAAACGCATTACTTGACGAAAAAACGAAAAAGCCTGCTACATCCAGATATTGAAACAGATTCCGTTATCAACACAAAATGAATACACAATCAATGTCATGATGATCATCCGATAACATACCACTCTTAACAAAATGTCACATTAAGATACAATTATCACTATGTTTAAATACTGACACTGCTTCCAACAAACAGTCAGATAGGGTTTGTCCCTAAAACCATGGAATAGAACTGTAAATAGAATCAATCACCCTATGGATGAGATCGCACAAAAGTGTACTGACACTTCACAAAACAAAAGAACAAAAAGGGCACCAATCATTAACATGAACGATTATAGAAAATAACACAGGTACGTGGTCTCTTATAAATGTAAGTCTATCCAAATCACTGAATTCTAAACGCAGAATTATGCATAACTTCAAATAATCACACTTCAAAGAAGAAACATACAACTAGAGGAACCAAATGAAATGAAACAACAATAATCAGAGGTTTACGGGATGGAGAATACTTAATCGAAGACTAGTGGGGATTTCCAAAGTCTGGATGATGAAAAGGAGTAAATACGTCTGCGAAATTGTCGAGGACTTTGAGCCATTTCACCAGCACTCTACAGCTATTGATTCATTACGTCCGACGGATCACAGGAAGTCGACACCATGGCTCAAACTAAGAGTCAGTCAAAGACTTCATGGGTTGGTGCTAGGTCTTCGTTTGACTCACTTGCAGCTCTTTTCCAACGCAGTCCGGTTCCACCTAACACTGCTTATCAAGGAGAGCGTTTACTCAAAATGTGTCAGATACATTTTACCCATGTCAGTCGAAAGCACCTCACAACCTTTTTGACTGACTTTCGCTGCTTACCTCACCTCCAGCAGAAATGAGTGATTGCACAGAGCTACCGACAGTCGAAATCGCTCATCCTTTCAAATCTTACAATTTTAAGTGTCGTGTCTCGCAGCCGTAACAATATGATGAAGCAAACTTTAGAACAGTACACACGACCTTTGATGGATAGCCATTTATCACACTAACGATAAAGACGACACAAGTCAGCAAGTGCCACACCAACTCTTGTATCTGCAATAAGAATTCGTCAACAACCAGTCCATTATGGCTGATACAATTAACCGAATATGTGGAGTGGTCAAGACATTCAACCAATTCACTCCCTATCTTTAGACTAGGAGACGATGGAGACCAGTTTCGCAATATCATCTTAAATCTGACAGAGGTGAACTATACCAAAGGGTAGTCGGATTTTGTTCAATGGAAAATTATTCGGCAAAACTAGGTTCATGGAACTACTCAATAAAAACTTTGTAGGGTACTTATGTTTGCCCTTTAACTATGGGAAGCATAATACTACTTGTGCATTGTAAAATGAAAAATTCTTTCATGCTGGGTGTTCTTATCGTACAGTTTCTGGAGATAGTTTATTATGATGAATTAACATAATCAAATACTATTACTAATTATGAAAAGCCCTTCTAAAGGTATTTCACGGAGACTCAGCTAAAGTTATAAAATGCAAGATATAATTGCTGGTCAGTGATTCCATATGCAACTTTCACATGAAGCTGGTACAGTAATACGCTTTCAAAGCTGTTCAACTGCCACCGAACATCACTTCCCTCTGAGCTACAAATTTGAATCCGAAAATGCCTAGATGACAAGACTGTGTCGCCAACAACCTACTGAAGATACCTAGATACCGTTTCCAGGCGTTTGCGTTTGCACAAAAAATAACGACTTTATATTAAAGGGACAATGGAACTCGTTAGTTACGCGGTAAAAGAGCAGGCAATGTATCTATTGCACAATAACAAATATAAGATAAATACCAGTAATTTTACAAGTTCAGCTTCATTTAACAACAATTGTACGGCAAAGTATAATAAAAGCGGAGAAAGCAAAGACACTACTCACTTTGTTTAAGAATATGTTGCATTGCTTCATCGCCTAAAGTTGCATAAATTGGAACAGTGGGAAAGCCATACGCCGCACAAGCGTGTTGAGTGATAAACCACTAATAAAATAATGAAACTGATGAGACTGGATTTCAAAATGTGAGAAAGTGTTTTAGCTGAACAAATAAGAGTACACCTTGTGTATGCTAAGAAATATTTAACATGACATCTAGAAACTTTTACTCAAGTCACTCTATTGTTTCATTGAAATGAAACGTTGGTGAATGAAGCTGTCGATCTCCATACAGTTACATACAACAAGGACATACCAACAAATTTTAAAAAACAATGCACTGTCCAATACCATAAACTGCTAACACCAAAACATTGGCGAGGCTAGTAACCTCAACTCGTAAAACCAACATCATCACTACCGAGACTTCAAAGCTTGAAGTGTAATGTTCTATTCGCAATGCAAAGAAAAAAAGAGCACCAAAATACATCATACTTACGGATTACATCTCTGTTCTGATTCAATAAACTAAGACAGTTATTTCGGTTCATCAAACTAATCAAAGTTTTATGCCTGACTGATAGTTCAGCAAATAACTTTGTGCGGGAAAAGATGAAGCCGTCCAAGTTGCCACACTTTATAAAGTTACACAATTTAGGGAAAATGTAGATGGATTACGATAAGAGTTGTATGGACCGCTTAACACCATCTTATTTCACCTACCATCTACAATTTAAAATAATTTCTAACTGTGTCAAGGTTTACCATATAAACATGTACTGCTTATGAATAAATGAAAGTGTTCATACTATTCAGTATTAACTGCGACTCACCACGCCTTTCAGCTAACCACCCTACACTACTACTGTGTATGTGTGTCTGAAGTGAAACTAACCACAGAAATTACCAAATCATACTGTCGTACAAAAAGGGGAACAAGCATTTAATGGCTAATTAAAACGCCGTGTGAACAAACCAAAGACCATGCTGTTTTATAACATAAGACAAGCAAATATTAGGTATCTCTATATCCGTCTAATAATGCTGGATATGAGTTAAAATATACCCCCAGAAGAATAAGTTCAATATATTATTTACGACCTTGTTCCCCGGGTTTTTCTGATATCTACTGCAAAAGAAATGTGATTTCATAAAACGCGTAGAACTTTCTTAATGAGCCATGTCGTAAACGCGAGTCAACAAGGACGAGTATTGTTACTCAGTAATGATGTATGTTGCTTTCCAAGGTTTGAGTTAAGCTATAAATACATGAGGTCAAAAAGCCTGCTTAATTCACAAGAATGGCACTTCAGAATAAATCAAGAAATCTAATTTTATTAAAAGGTTGGTTGGTCGTCATTCGGATCTTCAAGTGAAAGTAGATGGAAAGGTAAAATGAGGTGACCACAAAAATATTTGAGGGAAGCGTTTAGAATGTGGACAACTTACCTCAGGTGAATTGCGTCCATAAATACCAACACAATTGTCACCCCACGGAATATGACCAGCGACTTTCACCAGGGCTGATCCGAAAGCCTGTATTTTATCATCAACCTAGAAAAACATCAAGTTTCGTTGGTGGAGCTCACTTCTAAATATCGCAGCCACGCGAAGGATTCGCCAAAACTGTAGCGTCTTCCCAAACAAGGCCGAAAACCTGTCAAAGAAAAGTAAACAATGAGAGCTAGTTGTGCGTTAGTCAAAATAATAAAATATCTCCTTGACATAATACGATTTCAACGAAATAGATCATGGTACCATTTTATTCTGAAAAAACTGTTGTTCTTGCTTTATTCTAGTACGATTCCATTGTATATTATTACGACAGAATTCCTTATTTACTTATTTATTTCATATTTATTAAATCTACTAGGTGCTAGGTTACAGAGACATATTGTATGTCCCCACCCACACCAATGAACGTATATTAGATGACATAAAGGGTATAGTAACTTACTTCCAGGAGTTGGAGTACGAACATAAATAATATTCGTTTCGGATTACCATGTCAATTGGATTTATTTACAATATTACTAACATTTTTTGTGAAAATCTCTCAGTAAATCCAATTATAAAATTGCTGTCAACACTACCATAAACAAACTAAACAAATATTTTTGCTTCCTTTTTAAAGCCAAGTGTAAATGCACTTTCCTCCAATACCCATACATCTAAATACCGGGAGGTTTGAGAAAGTCATTGTACAAAGGTTTAAAGGTCCGAGAAAAAGTCCCAGAGAAAGACTTACGTGAAATCTGTAGCCCTTTTTCAAATAAGTCCTTCATGGTGCGTACATCAGAAAATTTTGCAGTACATCGATTTGTGAAAGGTGATTTCCGGGCACCTGTCTGAAACAATAATAACAGATCTAATTCTCACATTTGATCAGTTAAAAAGTACAATACTCAGTCATTTTATGGGAGACATCTTCAACAATTTCCACCAGTTATAGAACCATTAAAAACCCGAGAGCATTACACAGTTGCTTTAATGGTTCTTCAACTGACATAGGTCCGCGATAAAATCTACAATGCAGTCAACTGAATTCCCACAAACATGATATCTGAAACCATTTCTCGCATACTTTTCATTAGGATATGGAAACACAAACTTGTTAAGTGTTAGCTATGTTGTACATTTTTACAGAAGGAACCACAGTAACAGGATAGTACAGAAACATGAAGGCAACTACACTTCGATATATCATTCCCACTGAACTAAATGACGCTATCACTCGTTCGCTTAATTAGTATGCTTCATTTGCAACGAAATAAAAACCTTACAGAATGATGTCGAGGTAAAATCGACTAATTAGTTAGCATGCAGTTAATCGAAACACTAGGCTACGAGCCACAACTAATAATAACAATTAATAATACTATCCCGTTGCTCAGGGTGAAGTGAATGGAGCAGGGATCGAACCCGGACTCAGAACGGTGTAAGACAACAGCTGAAGTCAATGACCACATATCCACTTATATAGGATTAACTAACACTACTACAGACAAGTGTGTCCCATCCAGAAAATGCCACTAAGAGAATTTGCGCCATTTTGATCACACAATAACAAAAGTAGTAGTTGGTTGTCGACTTTATCAGGTACGGGAATTAAACTACAACTTCAAATAACTTCAATGAAATAAACGTGGAAATTCTCAGCACAGGATTGACGAGTCTGCACAACAAGTAAATGATTCATAAACTTCACTCGCCTGGGTAGTTTAAGCACAAGATTAAAAGCACACTGAACTTACAAACTAAATTTAAGAAATGTTGTAGAACTGACTTAGTTTAAAATTGTATTTTTACACCAACCATAAAATCAACCAAAAGGTACCAACCTTGGGATCAGATATGACTGACTGCTTATTTAAATGTGGACACACAAATGGTTCTGTTAAGTCTGGCTTGTATACTTTGCAGTAAGGATGGGGATATTCCAGCTGAGAGCCTAAAATAAGAAAGTAGTTTTCATACTAAAAATTAACGATGTCCAGAATAATAAGTCTGTCGTAACAAATGTCAACAAATACTCTTAATGTTATACAAGTATTTTTCATTTGGCACCCGTACTAATCATGAGCTAAACTCTGCAGTTTTGTTATGACCTCCTTCTATTGAGAATTAAATTTAGGATGAACGACAATGACTTCGTTGTGGTTAGTGTTAGGTAAATGTTAGGGTTTAGGGTTATATACTGGTTAGCATAGGAAAACAGTTACCGTTAACACCAGAATTATCGTTAGATTATACCTTAAACTAAGGATTATGTTAAGGACAGGGCAAGTCCTGAGATTAGGCAAACATTAAATGTTAACTTGTCAAAATCAACATATGGAAACATTTTCAAGATTGCTACACTGATTAAATTCATTTCTATCCAGATATTTGTCCTTAAGATATTTTCGTATTCAGTAGCGAATTCTTAATCCCATTATTCAGACTGGTTTTCAACGTCATCTGATGGGTCGTTGAGTTTGCATGCCGTTCATTGCATTGACCTGTTGTGACATACTTTCCAATACTTCAAATATATCAGTACGCATGTCAGTTAAGTATCTGGATCAATTGAGTGGAAGTAGTAACTAGTAATCACCGTGATACAGAATAACACCTTTGCGTGAACCTAGTACCCAGTTAGAGAGTTAGAATTTAAAAAAGGATAAAACAGGAGGTTAACAGACAATCTGATTCTGGGAGACGTGAGTGAAATGAAACCTTCAAAACCCAACTCCCTCACGTTCTCCAAATTTTCCCATTCGTCCAACGTTGGCGTCAAAATTTCCTTTCCGCCTACCACATGTCTTCATACTTGCCACATCTCATAAGAATTTTTTCTTACACCCTTTACAGTCAAGAATTACCCCAAATTTACTCACTCCCGACTTTTATAAAGGGGCACGTTATATCCGACTTTACTCTGGCTAATGAAGACTTCATAAGCTAAGCAGCTGCCAGGGAATATAAAATGTTGCGTATTTCCCTATTTATAATGTTTTCTATCAATTCCTGAACTGACAAGATATCAATATTTAGAGGAGGACAATTAAGCAACATAAGGAACATACACAAATAGTAGGCAGCTCTTAAGAATAGACACCGCAGTCAAATAAGCTTCAGTTAGCCATTCATATCGTTAAAACTTCAAAGTGAATTAATGTATCTGAAATAATCTGTTCCATCAATAATAAAAACGTGTGAGGAACTATGGCATATTTTCTCGGCACATTTCTGCAGATTCCGAGGAAATTTCCGGGAAAACCATGAAAAATGAACAAATAAAGTGACGAATATTGACTTACAGAGTTTACACTGCATTATACTCCGTAGGAATGCGTGATAATACAAGCAAAGTACAACAGTTTCGAAAATGTGCCTAATTGCACCGTCCAATAAGGATGTAGCCTGAGAAACGGTTATAACAAACTGTCACTAAATAAGCAACAAAAAATAAAAGCAACATCCACAAAGCTGTTTATACCCAGAATCCTGTTGCACAGGGAGCGGCAACATTTTGAAGCAGTTGTTGGCTTGCGATATATTAAATGTATCCACTAACTCAATGGTGGTAATTTGAACATTCTGCCTACTTGGGGAGAAAAGACTCGCTAATGCTCATGTGGTCCGTTGGCGCTCGGCGGGCTTCAATTTAGGTTAATACTCCTATCCGCCTCTATATAATATAGGGCACTGACGGTAAACGACTTGCCGAATCCAGCATCTTCAAGTTAACAGGAGAGCACATTGATTAGTTGTTAAGTTTGAGCGCCTGTAAAAATCTTTCATTAATAGTGGTGATTATTTTTGAGTTTCTTCTGTACTCTATTTCAGGAATATCACGCAGAGAGTCTGTTACCGTTCAATAACTTCTGGTGTTCTCTATCTACGTTTGTTACAAGCCTGACGCTTTATTCAGCATTATCCCTTGGCAGCTAATAAGTTTGTGAACGTGACATCTTCAAAATCAGGTAACTGTGGTATATTTAAATTCCCATGGTATATATATGTCCTTCTACACTTCAGTGATCTGGAGTAAATCTTGAATACGACGTGCATTTTCCTCTCTAACAGGAAATATCCACTTTTGTGAATAATTCGTTTGGGAAACCTGATCTTCCTATCCGGCGAATTTTATTCAACCATTTCTTCTTCACCGAGCCTGTGTTTGGTACTTCCCACTGTCTCGAACTACTGCCTAAGCTTCAGGTGCTACTTCTGTAGCAAAATCCCCCTCACTCTTTCAAACATACAGGACTTGTTGGTCTGTTACGTGATTGTTGTGAAGCCAAATAACCCGAAAGTTACAGGTAAAGTCAAAAGCTTCTACTTATATACTTTATCTTTCTGTTCTGTGCTTTCTACTGTCTTTTGCCGTCAGTCTATTGGACAAAACTCCACTGTATCTTATTACTTAATCATCGGTATTAATTTAGGAGTAATATGACTATAGATTCTCACCCCAAGATAAGTAATGGGAGACCATACACCGTAATCACCAGGGCTTCAACCAAATTAGGCAAACAGGTGAAGGTGATGGAATCTCGCATACCGGTCTTGAAGACCAGGGTAAATATTCCCTGCGTGGACAGATTGCCCATGTCGCCGCAGTCCTACAGTGAAACTGTGAAAAGTCAACTAAGCGGATGTGGCTCCATCCCTGTTAACACGACTAGGTTAATAGAGCCGACTGGTAAATCTGCACAAAGTGAGAATAGTATAACACCCATATCCACAGTAGGCCTTGAAACAAACAGGAAGGCCAATAAGAAACGTTCACGACGTCGCAAGACGACGAAAACGTTCCCCAAGAAGGCAGACGATTGCAAGGTCTGCAATTCTGTTGTCGAGCAAGTAGACTCTGCTTTCGAATGCAACTTTTGTAAGCAATGGGTACATTGTAGATGTGACACCCGGGTACCAAAGGTATACTACAATTTTATGCGTAAGAACCCATGCCCATGGTTCTGGTACATATGCCCAAGTTGCCGTCCTAATGCAGCCTCGTGTAGTTCCTCGAAAGCTAAAGATGGTATAGAGGTATCAGGAAAAAACGTGAACCGTTTTACTCCCACCAACTCAGAAAACAGCACAATTGCATGTAAATCGGGGATACCAAAATTCAAACCGGTTATACTTGCAATTCCTGCCATAACTGCCCCAGACACAGAGGTCGAAGCACCAAGGGTATCTGTCCCTGGGAAAAGACCCTTACCGTCCACCAGTAAAAGTGGCCACAGCACTGCGACACACGATAATACCCAGTTGCACCAGACGAAACAAAACGGTCTTAGGGGGGATGACAAATGTGCGAGGACCGAACCTAAATCCACGGCTAGTAGATCAAACTGCGTTATCCTCTTTAATGTACCAGACTGTAATAATAATATATATTTCCTATCAATGTAGGACACACCAGTTGTACAGGCATGGATAAGTATTATTTAAATTACATGAATTTGATTTATAGTGAAATTACATGGTTGCTGTCCTCTCTGACATCAGTTAGTGAGCACATTCTGATAGTTAGTCGTTCAATGGAGCACATAAAGAAATATAGAAATATTGTCTTCGCATTAACAAAAAAACCCAAGTACGTGTCGGATAAATTACAAATATTTGGGAAAAAAATAAAGCTTGAAGTCAATTCCTCCATATAACTTTGTTGTGTGCGGCATCGTATCTTGTTTTATGTTCAAATTGTGTATTAATTTAAAATGAGTGATTAATTTTTATGATTTTGACATCATTTTTTTGCAAGTAATACCAGATGTGAATTCAACTGAATGCAGATTAATATTGGTCATTGTCAAGCAGATTTGTTTTACTGCGCTCAAGTCACCCATAGCCCGCCATTTGTCACAGCATGGTTGCTCCGTACGAGTAAGTTGATAAACGCGTAGAAAGCTATATAAAAACCATTTTAGATCGTTGACAGTGCTTGTATAAGATGCTGTACAGCGTCTTGTTATGGTGACAGTGGATTTCATCAAGGATGCTGAGCCATTACTAGCCAAACCTTGAGGGATGATATATGAGTAAGTGACTTCAATTGTTTCTCAGCTTCAGTCGGAATGTAGATCAATGCAACTTGTACTACAAAGTAAATACAACAGAAATGTACCAGAGGACAAAGAAAAAGCAGGTGGAGTCTAAAAGTTTTGATTATATTCGTTGTACATTGTAATTTGATGAACAAAAATTTGTTTCTACTATGTCTTTTTATGCATTTATGCTACTAGTTTATTTATAGTCTTTAGGGAAGTAAGGGTATTTAAGCGCGTTTAGGTACTGTAGTAGACTAATAGTTGATTCGTTCTAGGGATAAATAGTTTATTTATATAGTCGGTAGAGTGAAATAGTCTTTTTATGCATTTATGCTACTAGTTTATTTATAGTCTTTAGGGAAGTAAGGGTATTTAAGCGCGTTTAGGTACTGTAGTAGACTAATAGTTGATTCGTTCTAGGGATAAATAGTTTATTTATATAGTCGGTAGAGTGAAATAGTGTGTACAGAGAGCGTTTGAAACTTAAAACTGTATTGCAGTTCCTGATATCTAGGGGCAGATTGTTCCATATTTTAGAATACATGACTGTGAAGAAGTTTTCGCGGAGTGTTGACTTAAAGGCTTTTATTGTCACTGTGCAATTTTGGTTACGCAGATCGTAAGAGCCTTCTTGCGCGAATTGTATGTCCTTAATGTCTGAGAATGATATTTTGTGTAGGACCTTATAGAAGAATACTAGGTTTATAATTAGTCGTCTTGTCCAGAGTGGGTCAAGTTGTAGAATCATGCAACGTGAGATGTAGTCTTTCTTACATTCGTAGCCTAGTAGTTTCGAGGTAAAATATCGTTGGATACTTTCAATTCTTAGCTTTTCACGTGTGTGAGTGCTGCTAATAATAAATGGACAGTATTCTAGTAGTGGCCTCACACAGGTTTTGTACAGAATGAGCTTTGCTTCATTGTCGTGAAAGTTCCTGAGTATGCATCCTAAGAGCATCCTCGACTTTTGAGTCTGTGATGCCACTTGCTCAGAGAATGTTAGGTTACTCGAGTACCTCAGACCTAGGTCAACGACACTTTGGAGTTTGGTTAGGTTAGCCGATTGAAGCGTTAACTTTATGTCGATTGAGGGTGCACCGAAGCAGATCCAGCCACATTTTTTAAGGTTAAATTGGAGGTTCCATAAAGACGACCAAGCAGTCACTTTATCTAGTTCTTTTTGTACAACATTCTGGAAGTACCCTAGGTCATCAGGTTGGAATGTATAAGCTACTTTGAGGTCATCTGCAAAGATGAATGGTTTACCATGAGAAAAGCAAGCGCATATGTCGTTAATATATAGGGTAAATAGAAGGGGTCCAATGACACTACCTTGTACTACACCAGAGGTGATTTGGCTAGGTTTCGAAGTTATAGATCCGAGTTTAACTATTTGGGACCTATTGTTAAGGAATGATTTAAGCCATCCTAATAGTGGGTCACGTATTCCTAAGGATTTCAGCTTGTGCACTAGTAGTAAATGGTCGACACGGTCAAATGCCTTTGAGATGTCAAAGTAGATGACAAGTACTAGTTGTCGTTTGTCACGACTGCTGGTCACAAAGTTAAAGAAGTCTAAGTGGCATGTTAAACAAGATCTGGATTTTAGGAATCCATGTTGGTTCGGACTTATAATATTGCAACTAAGCATATGCTTCATTAGGTTTTCTTTAACTAGTCTCTCCATAATTCTAGAAGCTATAGGTGTGATATTAATTGGCCTGTAGTTACTGACGTCTGTTTTCGAGCCAGATTTGTGTTTAGGCATAATATACGTTGTTTTCCATACATCAGGGTAAGTTTGGGTTTCTAAGGACATTGTGAATATTTTAAGCAGGAGTAAGGGAATGTCAGGGCCACCATATTTATAAAAATAGGATGATATGCCGTCAGTACCGAAACCTTTTGAGCATTTTAGGGTTCTTATAGTTTGTTTAATGTTAGTATAGTTAAATTCAATAGTGCTAATTAAGTTTGGTGTGTGTGGAGATGGAGTTTGTGCCACATTAGTAGCAGGGTGTATATTGAGTAACTGGACTGTGGGCTTAAGGTAGTTACCTGCAAAAGTTGAGTTGAATAATTCACACATGTCTGCGGAATTAGTACATAGCCTACCTTTGTCTATGAGGAGGGAAATGCTGTGATTTTTGCGATTCATTCGCTTCTTTAAGATCTCCGTGAGTGCATACACTCTAGCAGGACTGGCTACTGCGATGCGTTCTTCGTTTCTCATACGGAAATTTCGAGCTTGTGAGATGGAACTAAGGGTGTTAAGTATTAAACCTAGTGTGCCAAAGTCGTGGTGTTTGAAGTAACTTGTTGAGAGTTTCTTCAGTTTCATACGATCCTTTGGTTTTATGAATGACTTCCTATGTGGGGGCAGCTCAAGTGTTTGCAGTGGAATGACAGCATCTAAGCATGTGTTCGAGTTATGGTAGAAGATGCTCAGAGCTCTCGAGAGGTCATCAGTAGTGAAGTATTCGCTCCATTCGGAGGATCTTAGCACTGATTCTACTAAGGTCCAGTTTGCCTTACTATAGTTCCTATATAGTACTTGTTGTGAAGTGGAGGTATGAGCTGCATTGCTATTCAGTGGAAGTGGCAGAGCACACATTACTGTCTTGTGGTCACTACCTGAAAACTTAGAACCCACTAAGATTGAGAGGGGGCTTATATCGTGACAGAATATTAAGTCTAGTACATTGTCACCTCTTGTAGGGATAGTGACAGTTTGTTTCCAGCCGAAGATGTCCAGTGTCCCTAAGAGCTTGTCGTATTTAGTTGGCCCTTTTAATAAGTCCCAGTTGATTTCGGGTAGGTTGAAGTCTCCACATATGATCTTATGCTCGTATGGAAGAGTGGATACTTGCTCCAGTACATTTATAAGTTGTGTCTCGTAATCACTAAAGGTGCCAGGTGCTCTGTAGATACATCCTATTAGTAGTGTAGCACTTTTGAAGTGTACGTTGACCCATAGGGTGTCGTGCATGTCATTGAGTTCCTTATTTTCTAGCTGTAATACAGTAAGTGTGTTCAGGAAGTACATTAGGCAGCCTCCTCCCTTACCACTCTTCCTGTCACAGCGAAAGTGTATGTACCCTTCGATGCTTATCTCTTCGTCTGGTATATTGGAGTGACACCAGGATTCCGTAATAATGATTATAGGGGGTTTGTATACCAGCGTGTGTGCCCTGAGCATCGGTAGTTTGTTAAGGATAGATCTAGCATTAATAAGTATTAAGTAGAGTTGAGATTTGAAGTAGTGTTTGAAGTGTTTAAGCTCGTCAATAAGGTTCAAGTGTGGATCGGCATCCGCTGTTTCCGCGTGGCATATCAACCCTGTGTTGCAACTAGTTTGTCCACCTATGTCTGTCAAGTTACTATCCGTTTTTTTTAGTGGGTAATGGGTTTGATTATTAGATAAACTATACAATGACGTGGTTCTAGGCTTGGGTAGGTTGGAGAGTTGGGTTGAGGTTTTTATTTGGCATATGCTTGTACAGTCTTTGGGTGTGACTAATAGTTCCGTATGTACTAGCCCATGTCTGTTTTCTTCCCGATAGGGGGCCAACGTTGGTGGTATGGGTTCAGAAGGGTTAACATCCCCACCAGCTGTTTGGTTAGCGCTGACAGGGATGTGTTGGATAAAAAATCATTGGTACCTTGTGATACCCATGACTTGTTAATCTGCCTACTGTGTGTGGACATTCCAAGAGACCTTACATGGGTGTCGTTGTGTGCGTAGCTGCACTGTGGTTTGTTTCCCAGAAGGCTTGTTCCGTATAATCTGCCAAAGTTAGTTTGTATGTCATGCCTGGTGGCTGAGCTCCGAGTGTTGTCACTTTTACTACTTTGCGTGATAGCGTCACTACACCAGCTACCAGTGTGACTTGGCACAGTATGCAAGTAGGTTGTGTCGTTGTTGTCCTTGGGCTCTATGTCCTTATTTTTGTTTTTAGTTTGGTTGCTAGCATGGTTTTGAATATTATTTACCTTAAAGCGTGAGATATTCTTGGGAGTCTGAATATGTTGGGGAATCTTCGCAACAAGTGGCGTATTTCGGCCTGTTTTGTTACCGAGTTCCATTTGCGTTGTCACGTTTTGGTTAAGAGAGGATGTTGTCAGCTTACAAGAGGGATTGATTACCATCTTATGGCTGTCCATAGACATATCTAGATCCACCGTAGAGGGAGGAGAGGTTACTTTAGGAGTAAGACTATAGCTCACAAGTGTTTCGTTTGGTTTCATTTTCTCTGGAGCTATTTTTACGGGATTAGAGAGGGGGGAGGCTATGAGTTCTACCGTGTTGGTAGTGTGTATATCTATTTTAGTGGCTTGAGGTGTCCTGCCATTTGGTTTATTAAGGTGATTGTAAGCACGCCTTTCAATCACTGTCTTATCTGCTACAACTTTTACCTGTTTGTAGCTTGTGTCCTGTAATAGGATACGTTGTGTGTTGGTAAATTTTTTAGCCTCTGTCTGCGTTTCGAACTGAAGGCGTATAGGACAGCAGTGGTCGTGCTGACTCTTCTTCAGTCTGTGACATTTTGTTTGGGAGTTAGGCATTTTCGCCGCCCTAAGTAAGATGCTTTGAACCTTTTTCAACCCCTCATTATCCGGTATATTGTAGACAATCACACTTAGTTTAGTATCAAGTCTTTTGATAACCTCTGTTGTGATGAAGTTTATCAAGGTGTCTATCTTAGATACTGATTCTGTGTCAAGTTCGCCAGGGTTTATGGTCTTAGTCAAGATGTTCAGAGGGGCAAGTTCACAGACCTGTGATTTTATATCACCAACCTGTGTTGATAGTTCAGATAATTTGGCCAAATTTTCTGAAAATCCTGCATTCATATCTTTTCTACACCTTATGTCCCGCATCTCAGTCTTCAGTTCTTCTACAGCCAGCTTTAGTCGTTCTATTTCTGAAGTAAGTGTTGGAGCTGGACTTGGAATCTGAAGTTTTGTGACACGTACATAGGGTGAAGTGAAGAGGTTTATGTCAGGACCAAGTGCTGAGTTTGTAGAAGCGTTGCTACTGCTGTTTGTCAGCAAGTTTTCGCCCTCAGTTTCAGCCACAGTAGATGGTAGTGAACCGGCAGCTCGACGCTTGCGGCGTATTGGCAAGCTGTGTGCCTCATTTCCATACTTTGTGGGAGTTGTGCAGCTCGTCGTTGCGAGCATATTTATACTATTAGTCATCACGTTGACAGGTGACTGAGTTCGTGGCTTTTTTGTATGACTAACCATAACTAACTAGTGAAAGAGTTATTGGTTAAATTTATAGAACTGGAGAAACACTTGTGCGAGTCTCACAGTAAAAATAGAAATATATAGCGAATTAAGCTAAAATGTAACGCAAACGTTGAACGTACCGCGTCGTATATGCAGTAGTCTGCTGGAAAAAGGGCCCTGTTTGATCAGGAACAGTGGTCCAAATTGTGTAGCACACTGGGTCTGGACATCCAACCAGTAAAACTATGCAGATTGTATAGGGGCACTGCTGCTCCTCAAGGCAAACCATCCCCACTGAGGGTAACACTAGGCTCTACCGAGGATGCCGAAAAAGTTTTATTGACTTCGCAAGTCCTTTCTATAGGGAGGACCTGCAATATACGTGTTAGGCCAGATAGGCCATGGAAGGAAAGACAGATGTCGAGGGAGTCGCCAGAGCTTATTCCTTCTGCCTCCATGGTTGTTCACGGCATTCCCGAACTGGTAACTGGGAACGCTTGTGAGAAGCACTGTCATGATGTGTAGCAATGGAGATGGTTGGCATCCCAGATGGGTCTGGGAAGTTCAAAGGCTGTCTTTATTTTTAGACTGCCTCGACCCACTCACCTAATGTCAATTAACACTCCATGTCTGTTAGCTGTTAAGTTCAGCTCCCGAGACCACTTGACTACTGCTCTCCAGAGATGGTACGAGACCAAGGACAAGGTCAGCAGACACATTTGCTGCTGCGAGAGCCGGCCTCGCATCCAAAGGAGAGAACAGAGCGTTGTCATAGAACATCCTCAACCCTCAGTCACAAAACAGCGGTGCAGCACGGACGATGATAGCCAGTGTCATCCAAGTGCTCCGATTGAATCAGAAGAAAAAAACGCCAACAGACCGATTCCCGGGAAATCGGCCAACTAGTTCGTAGGATAACTCCTCAACCGACAGCCCACATCACGTCAACCACCCCCCCCCAATACGGGGACGTGGTGAGACTGACTACCAGTTGCCTGTACAGTAATGTGAGAGGTCTAAGAGGCAAAATAGCTGAACTTAGATACCTACGATCACAGCTGAACTCCAAAATCATAATACTGACGGAAACCTGGCTAACCCCTACGGTGGCAGACAGCGAAGTCAGTATAAATGATATGGTCCTAGTCAGGCGAGATAGGGATCTGAAAGAAGGAGGTGGAGTCGCCATATACGTCGACAAACAGCTCAGATGCGTCCATGCAGTGGACCCTCCCCTCATTGAGCTCCCTGACTCCATATGGTGCCATTTCGCTGTTGGGTACTGTAAATATCTAGTGGGCAGCATTTATAGATCACCTTCATGTGGAGCAGACCACAACCAGGTACTGCTGAATGCAATTTCAGCGACACAAGACATGGATTATGATCAAATTGTCATAGCTGGAGACTTCAATGCCCCATCTCTTAACTTGATGACGGGATGTGCCCAGGACAGATTTGATCGAAATCTGCTGCATACCATCAGGGAGGCCGGATTCACTGAAAATGTCAGAATGGATACTAGATGGGGCCCAGATGGGAAGTTTTCTAGACTGGATTATGTGCTCACTAGTGACCAGCTACTAGTGGAAAACGTTCAGATCACGACTCCCATAGGTAGTAGTGACCACGTGGTCATAACATTCGACATAGTCCTCCGCGAGCGTTTACAGTGGGACAATACACAGCCCTATCTGTGTTATAACAAAGCCAATTACACCAAAATGCGAAGACTTTTGTCTGAAGCAAATTGGCCAAAAAATTGGACAGAGCTTACAGTAGAAGAACACCGGGGAGTGGTAAAGGAGATCATTCACCAGGCGGTCTCAGACACTGTTCCTTTAGTCACACCTAAAGCTAGAAAGCAACGTTCATGGCTAAAAAGGGGGACACAACACCTTCTACAGGCGAAGCGAAAAGCATGGTTTGCGTGGTGATTATCGAAGAGTCAACCCGAACATGAAGTTTACCTCGAACTCAGGAATCGATGTAACATACGAGTCCGGAGTGATAGAAGGACATTTCAGAGAAACCTCGCCAATAAGCTTCTCGTGAACCCCAAAAGCCTATACAGGTTTATGTCTGAAAGAAAACCGACCAACCAGGGAGCTTGCATTCTAGTGGGTTCTGATGGGAAATCTCTTACTAGTCTTGAAATGGCAGAGACATTCAGTCCAGCCTTTCACGGGCAACTAAACAGTAACGAGGATTTTACCCCCACAAAACATCAAGATTACAATGCAAGAGCAACGTGCGAAAACCTGCTGGGTACATTTCAAATTACCCCGGCTATGGTACTCGTAAAATTGGGAAAGTTGGCTTCGGGAAAGTCTGCAGGTTGCGATGCCCTAAGACCATCCGTCCTGAAGCAGTGTTCAGAAAGTCTCTGCCAACCCCTAAGTGATTTGTTTCAACACTCCTTTGATGTAGGCAAACTTCCATGTGGATGGAAACGAGCCATCCTATCCCCTATCTTCAAGGGTGGTGACCGGCAGAACGCGACCAGTTACAGACCAGTTGCGCTTCTTCCAGTGATATCGAAGATATTGGAAAGTCTCATTGACGACCACATGAGAAAATACTTCGACGGGACTAACCTACTCCATGAATCACAGCACGGTTTCAGGAGGGGAAGATCCTGTGTGACGAATCTTCTACTAGCTTGGAACGATTGGACACTATCCTGGGATGTAAAGGTACCAGTCCATGTGATCTTTCTCGACTTTGCGAAAGCATTCGAGACAGACTCCTTCAGGTGCATAATATCATTGCTCCTCCTCTACTCAAAAGGGATGCTAACATTCTAGAAAGTGTCCAGAGACGAGCGACAAAATGGGTGATCGGCCTCCGCAACAAATCATATAAGGAAAGACTGAAGAAATTAAGTCTTTTCACACTTAGTTACCGTAGTCACAGGGGAGACTCATCACCGTCCATAAGATCTTAAATGACCGGGCCCACCCTAATAAGAGCATCCTGCCATTAAGTGATTATAGGCTTCCACGAGGTAACCCGCTAAGGATAGCACACCAGAGACCAAGGACTCGAGTGCGTTCACATTTCTTCTCGCTTCGAGTTTGCCGTCTCTGGAACGCTTTACCGGCGGCCGTAACTACAGCGCCATCTGTGGAGACTTTTAGGCGGAAGCTGGACAGTCATGCAGAAATGCATGGTTTGTGTCTCAATGGCTGGGCATAGCTTTTTTTTGAAGAAACCCAGTATGGTTTCTTTTTGTCTTCAAACAGATATAAGTTAGATTGTATGTTTGTGTGAGAGAGTGAGAGTGTGTGTGTGTGTAAGATTGTCAAAATCCTAATAGTGTGTGAAACCTTTTTACTGGTTTATTGTATTAAGAGAATCCTTCACATATAGCCGACCTTGTTAATATACTGTATGATATATTCCTGCAGGATATATTGAATTTATCGACAAATACAACTTAATAAACATGTCCAGGTTTGTGATCTAGGGTATCAGCCACACTTAATGATGTGATACTGCGTAAAAGTGATCTCAGCAAGTAAATTGCAGTTCAAACTTTTAGTTTCATAGGCCAAAGAATCTTGCTCCAGAAGCGGTTGTTACATAACAAACCGGAAGGTCTTGAGTTCGAACCTTGGTGGGGGTTGCGTACTGATGAAGAGTACCGGACTAGGACGAAGTAACTGTCCAGCGCTCTCTGATCTTCTAATGCTTCTGTAATGGATGTCAGCTTGTAATCTTGCCTGTAACCAAGCTGAGGCGCTAGCTATCCAAAAGCTCAAACCCACACTTTGTATCCAAAAGAATTACGTCCAACCCCTCTCCCTACCATGGCCATCATAAACAGGTAAAATTTTTTTAGTAATGACAATCTCATCACATTTCTTATCTAAACTTCCTGTTTATTCATGTTATTTTAAGTTTTCTTAAACCCTGTTTACACTACCATATTTTCATACCCACTCTTCCTGTTTATTTTGTCATTTTACTATTTCTACATATTTAATCCCTGATTGCATAAACAATTATTCATCATATTAGTTTTTTATCCAAACATCCTGTATATTTTGTTATTTCTACATTTCTAACCCCCAATTGCACAATGTCAATCTTCTTAGTTATTATAATGCTAGTTTGTTCGAGTTTTACCCATCCCCCCTGTTTGTTATGTCATTTTAATTCCTAATTGTAATTTTTTATTAATTTGACTCCTAACCAGAAATTATTCTGGAACTTTCCTATCCATTTGATATAAATACACGAATGTACAGCCTAGATGATGACTTCGTCGAAAAGAAAATTTTCTTCGCTGCAATTGTCTTTTTATTAACTCCTATGTTTCCATATATTAAACGCATTTTTACAGGATACTAACTTCTGGTGATAAATTGAATTCAACCTCTGCATTTCGAACTTCATTAGAATGTTAATTATTTTCAAACCGGTACTATCCTTCATTTTATATAACTTTTCCTTTCCCCTGCGTAGCTTTTTAAGTTGAGGGGAGGAGAAACGGTCAAATCTGATGAAGAGCGTTTCTCTGGGACAACAGGCGTCAAGACTAAATTTGTGATTACTTGTAATATGAGAGATAGTGTCATCAAGAGAGTCTTCGTTAAACAAGTCCCACCTTGTATCTTTGAGCATGCCCCTAAGGTTCTAAACATTCTCCTTGGAGTACCATCCAATTTTCTTGGAAAGGTGTGAAAAAGTTCTATTGTGTAACTTTCCATAAATTTTCGGTAAAACCCGTACAATACAATGATCTGAGTTATACAGTGGGACTGTTTTACGAGCTTCATATATTCCGCAGTCATTTATAAATTGATATGTATTCACATGATGTCTGCCTTTGCTTTTGGCAGTCTGATATATTTTGCTATGTGTATATTGATTGTTATTTCACTATAATTCACAATATGCTTTGTCTCTCCATTAACTAAATAAGCAATCTAAATTAACAATATCTCTATATTTCTTGATGTGTTCCATTGAATCACTAGTTATCAGATTTTTCCCACAAACTAAAGATAAAATGACAGTAACCATTTTATTTAGCAGTAAATCATGTAATTTAAATATGTAAATTAAATAATACTTATCCATGCCTACAAAACTTGTGTGTCCTGCATTTGTAGGAATAAATGTATACCTTATTATATTATC